TCGCATATCACAATCTGATAGATTTTAGGTGAACAATCACAATCACACATACTATCACACCAAGAATCAGCATTGCATGAAGAATTACATCTAGATCACGAATCACAATCATGTTTCAATATCCCTCCTCCCTCCTCATCCTCTCCTCAATCTAAATCAATCATACAAATCAACTCTGATAAACTTGGAAAAAGGACAAAAAATCTGAACAACCGAGAGGATTCATCAAACCTCAAAGAACCTTTTGTTCTCCCAAAAAAAGAAAGTCGCATCACATCGTTTGTTTAGGGAAAAGGAACTTGGAACACATTTTGAAATGTATTGTTTTTTCAAAAAAGATGAAGATCTACTTTTGATACACGGTCTTGCAAAAAGAGACCAGTTCTTCTTACCTATGTATCCTAAAGAACAATGAGTATCAACCAAGTTGGTTTTCTAACATCAAGCTTTTAACTGATACCCAGAATTGCTCATTTGAATACAACAAAAGTAGTCAAATCATCTTACCTTTTGACTTGTTGAAAAAATCGCTCCCTCTGGCTATGTTAATTTAATCATCAACTTTAAAATCTCAATGTTTCCATGCCATTCCTTCGAGATTTACTGAGTAAAACAATGAAAACAAATGTATACAAACTGAATACATAGATGCAGAAGTAACAAAACCTTTATGGTAATTTTCAATTGAAGGAAATTTACCTGAATTGAATGTCAAACCAATATAATACATGCTAGGATAAGATTGAATATACATATTCTATATCATCATCATTTGAATCATATACCAGATCAAATCTTTTGTTATTTTTGTACAAGTGATCAAGGAAAAATTACTGAAAAAGAAAGCAAAACCGAGAAAATCTGAACAATCAAGAAGATTTGATAAACCTCAAGCAACTTTTTGTTTTTAGGATCGGGATTTAATTTTTCAACTTGATTGTTTTCAACTTTTGATAAATCACTTTCATGAGTGATAGTAGTAGTTAGAGATTTTCTTTGTTTGATGTCTCATTAACAGGTCGAATCGCATGAGCGAAAAAAGCAGATTGACGATCTTTTGATGTTTTTGATTTTTTAAGTAATGGTTTAATCATTGATGATGTGATTGAATTAGTTGAAATCATGCATGTTAATGTGTTGGGTGGTGATGTCAAAATTGATGATCCTGCTATTGGTTCTGTTGTTCTTGTAGCTACAGCTTTATAAAAAAGTAGAAATCATTTGTTGATATTATTGAACTTAATCAAATCAAAAGAAAGTTTCCTTACTTTTCAATTCTGGCCATTTCTATAATTGCTCTTTCTTTTTCCGATTCATCAATCCTTTGTTCTTCAGCTGCATCATCTAGAAATGCAACTTCCTCATCATCTAATGCTGCCAATCGATCTTCTTTTTTTGCAAAAAAACAAAACATACAAAAGAGAATTAGTCAATTATAATTTTTTGGAAATTGGAGAGGTCTTGTTGGCTTTAATTTGATTAAGATAAGATAAGTTTTTTCACTGAATTTTAATCGTTCTTCAAATGCTTCGTATTTTTTTTATTCTTGGCTTCTTTTAGGTTCTCACATAATGATATCATTCAAGTGATTGTCTGAAGAAGTGATCGGTCAATTGATTGATCGATTGTTTAGGAAGTAATAGATCGATTTTGGTAATGGGCTGATTGGAGATGTGGTGGATGCGAGTGTTTGTAGGAGGTTGATGGTGAGGATCCAGAAAGCCTATAAGATCAAAAGAAAAACAACAGAAACAAAGGAAAAAGTCAAAGAAATCAGCTTCTCAACAAGGACAGACAAACATGGACAAAAAGGTATACTCACCTGTGGTTGTAGCAATGTAATGCAGTAATAACAGGAAGATGTTGGTTGATGTTGGTCAAGGTGAAGTGGAGTAGTGATGGATGCGCTGTGAGTAAAATAGTAAACACAAAGATCCGGGTTTGAAAAAGAGTTTGGTGTCATGTTTTTGTCGGTATGACACTTGTCGGCCGTCAGACCGTCCGCCATGACTCATGTTACGACACGGTTTTTTTGGATCAAAAATCCATGTCGATGTGTGTCGGTATGAGTCGTGTCGGACGGTTTTTGGCTCGGGAATGATTTTCAACTACACATGACATGGAAAAATTACATGTTTAAACCATGTCGTGTTTATATGTCGGTATGAGTCTATACGTACACCGTACAACATAGCACAGAACATGCACTATTGATCCTCACATCTTGGATAACAGAAAAGTGGCAAGATGAAGAAATAGTACAAGCATTCTTTCTAGGTGTAAAGTCAGCATACCCCTCAGTTCACTGGGGATGGCTATGGTACACACTATATAAGAATAATTGTCCCACATACCTACTCCTGATAATCAAAGGCTTTCTCACCAGAAGAACTATCAATCTGTAGATTCAGGACTTTGTCTCAGATACCATCAGTTATCATTTACATCTTCTACAACTCAGAAATCCTAGAACAAGCACCACCAGAACCAACAGGTAAGGAAATATCAATTGGCTTCATGGATGATGTAGTACATGGAGTAGATTCAAAAGCATTTGAGGAACACTTGATAAAACTGAAAGAACTTGTCAACCACTTCCTCAAATGGGTGCAAAGTCATGGATTAATCTTTGACAAGAAGGAAGCCCAGCTCATGCAATTCACAACCAACCCAAAAGTGAAACCCCCCTCTTTCATTATCTTCAGAGACACAGTTGCCCAGCCAAAATAACACAAGGTGAAGTGGCTTGACCCAAAACTAACTTTCAACAGCTATCTTCAACACACTAAGAAAAAAGCAAAATCCATGCTTCAACATTTCAGAAGAATCAATAAATGTTATTCAGGTCTTGCAACAAATCAAAACAGTAAAATGATCATGAAAGTCTTGATCCCTAAAGTACTATACAGAAGTATTTCCTGGTCAATTGAAAAATTCAGCAAGAAATCAAAAAGTATCCTAGGCTCCATTCAGAATGGAGTCAACAGGATTATGATTGGCGATTTTGGGGGCACATCAAACAAAACAATGAATCATGATGTTTATTGACCACCTTTCCATTAGACCGCAGCTTGAACAACACCGCAACTTTATCCCAACATGATGATCAGTGCTAGAAAATCACCACATGCAAACATTCATTGCACACAAATTGTTACAAGCACACAAGACACATCTGGGACCAATTCAGGACTTTCTACATACACTTTTAGCAATAGCAAGAGAAGATATTGAAACAATATATGCTCACCTGATAGCTCCATGGGAAGAAAGTATAGGAGAATAATCAATGTAAGAATCAAGAAAGAAGATGTCATAAAAAAGATTCCACAACAAATCAACAATGAAGAAACAACCAAAAAAACACTGGTAGTCTTCACAGATAGATCATTCATTCAGGAAGGTGGAGGAGCACTTTCAGTGTCCAAAGACAACCACAGAGCACAATCTGTTATTTATACTGACCATTTTCTAACCACAAGACTGTGCAACTAAGGATTCTCCTGGCAGCAGAGGTAGCTAATGATATTTGCAAACAGAAACAACCGCCATCAACCAATTTGGCAACTTTTAGCAACATCTATGGGGGACTGAGCCCCACAAACAACATACCAAGAAGGCCAACAAATCCAACTCCAGAACTGAGCACAAATGAGAAGACTACAGCAGAAAATGAAAATAAGATTGTACTGGAAGCCCAGACATAAAGGTATCAAGCTGAAAGAACTTGCAGGTCATATAGCAGGCAAAGTAACAAGCTTGCAAGAGCTTTCAATCATCCTGCCAACAAGTTTAGGGAGTCTCAAACTTCACACCAAAGAAAATTGGCATATCAAACTGTTCCTATTTAAACCTGGCAAGAAGGCCTTGAGGACAAAACCAAAAGTTCTATGTAGCCAAAAGCCTATGTAGCTGAACTATAAAAAGTTTGCACTCTACAAAATAGCTTGATCAAGAAACATATGAACTCAAACACACCATACTCATTTCTTTCTTTTCTGTCTTTCTACAGCTACCTTACTTCTTGATATCACCATCTAACTCTTCTTCTCTTGTTAAAAATATCCCCTTCACAAAAAATCAAAGAATATGTAATAAACAAAAACTTGATTCAAAATTAAATAAAAAAACATCATCATCATCATCAACAACAACAACAACAAAAACAAGCAAGAAAACTAATCAGAAGAAGAAAAAAAAGAATAATGTACTATGGTAATAGTAAATCAATTTGATGAAACATAGAAAAAAAAATCATAATTGTAAACCTCAATTTCATTCCTTTTTTTCTATTCTTTAAGAAAAACAAAACCTTCTTTTCTTTTCTTTTCTTTTCTATTCTTGACTTTATTGTAAAATTCAGAAATATAAAAAACAAAAGAAAAATCACACTTCACACTACATCAAAACCTAGGTCTTTTACTTCCATCATCATAATTGTTCCCACCACCACCACCTCCTCCATTTTGATGACCACGATAATCATCAAATTCTCTTTTACTACCTCCTCCTCCTCCATTTGACATATTCTGACGACTTGCCCAACCTTGACCAGGTCCAGCTCCAGCATTGGCACCTGTTCCTGCAAAGCCTCCATTACCTCCTTGAAATCCAATACCTCCACCTCTAGGTGATGCAAATCGATCGCCAAACCCACCTCGATCTCGTCCGCCCCCGCCTCCTCCGCCTCCAGGTGATCCAAAGCCGCCTCCTCTTGAACTTCCTCCGCCTGCACTTCCGAATCGATCACTACTGCTTCTTCCTCCAAAACCTCGATCTCCTCCTCCTCCTCCGAACCCACCAGGTCTTCCACCCCCACCACCGCCTCCAGGTGGCCCGTTTCTGAAACCCCCTCCTCCTCCTCCGCCACCACCACCTCTGAAACCACCACCGCCACCACCACCGCCACCTCTGAAACTTGGACCTCGAAACCCAAACCCACCGCCAATACCTGGCGGTGGAGCTTCAGCTGCTGGCACCGCTACAACTGCCTTAGGACGTCCTCCCAGACCTCCACCTAGTCGACGTGGCTTCCATCCCTTCACGGTCCGACCCCGTTCCACATCAACGAGAATCCTTCGACCCTTGATCTTCAATCCTTCTGCATCCTTGTAGGCAGCTGAATCCAAAAAAGTTGAATCACAATAGAAGGCGAAAATCCGGTGAAAGTGATAGGTTTGTTGAATCATTCGTACCGGTAGTGAGAGATCGATCGTTGTTGAAGAGTATGAAATGTTCGAGTTTTTCCAAGATTTCAAGTTCGTGATGATTTAGCAATAACACAGATAGATACCGCGAGAGGTGTTGGTTGTATATGTGTGGGTGTGTATCAGGTTGAAGGTAGAATGATGGACGTATATATAGAGCAGCAAATATATGTAAAAAAAACACGCAAACAAAAACAAAAAGGAGTTCAACTTACCCATCTCTTCAGACGACTTTTCAAAATGGTTTTTTGATCAAGGAACTCTTTAAAATTGGAAGAGAAGGGAAACTTGGAAGATTTGATTCCATATATAACAAAAATGTGTATTGATAGAAATACAAAAAAAAAGATCTCTGATGAGAGAAAGATGAAAGATGGAAGAAGTGTGTAAGAAAGAGAGAAAGAAAGAAAAAGAAAATTTACCCTTCATATCTTTTTCTCTTTCAAAGAGTATAAAAGCGTATCCTCGAGACTTTCCTGTAAGTTTATTTTTCACGATTAAAAGTTTTTCGATCGGTCCATACATATCGAATTCTTTTTTAAGATCGGATTCGGTGGCTTCGAATGATAATCGAGAGATGAATAATGTCCTATATGGATCACCAGTTGCGTTAGGATCTTCTTTAGGGTCATCTATGTACCAAAAGACAACAAAAGGTTTAGTGATCAGCCAGATGAAACAAACGGATGGAAGAGAAAAGGAAATACACCCACAAGTTTCTTGTCGTGAAGCTTTTTCTTCTTTCCTTTTGATTCGATCTTCTTGACGACGTTCGAATTGAACTTGCATAGAATCGGTTAAAGTTTCTAAAGGCATTCGATCGATCAAAGGATCTTTAGTACCGTTTTCTTGATTTATACCATCTTCATTGATCGTAGCTGCATCCAGTTTAAGTTGATCTAGTAATGGAGAAACACATGTGATATGTTTTTTATGAATCGATACATCTGGATCTCTTCCTAATGGTTTACAATATGGTAAGGGAGCACGTGGAGCGAAAAGTTTGAGTAGGTTGGGTGGTAAGAGATGGGTTCCGACCATGTTGATTGAATGAAAGTTGATTGAGAAGTTGAGTTGATGATGTGAGGTTTCTGGAAGGCTTTCGAGGTTGATGTGGATGTTGACAGTTGGATTGAGAATTGAATTGAGTTTCGATCGATTTGAGTTTTTTCTCAGTTCAAAGTGGTGCACCAGTCAAATTTAAATCAAAAATCAAAATCAAAACACTTGGGTTAGGTCTCACTCTCAATTACATATCACACTCACCAGAAATATTGAACTTGACAAAGATAGCTTGGAGATGCAAACAATTGACATGGATGTACTGTAGCTCTGATTGATGATCATGATCATAGTCTAAAATTCCTAAGACGTGGTAATGGCAGATTTAAACTATTATGAAAATATTGCAAGGTTGACTGTGTATCTCAGTGAGGAAATTCGATATTTTCTACCAATTTTTGGATTGGATTGTTAGGTGTTTTATGGGTCACTCTCGATATTATCTCAACTTGAATTATGAGAAACTTGAGGAGTGAAATGTGTAAGGTGATTGATATCCATGATTGAAAAGTTGAAGAGTCCATAGTGAAGTTACAAATGCCATCAGGCTGTGCCTTGTGAAATGAGACATAAAAAGAATGGTTTGAAAAAAGGATGACAATTTGTAGAATATTAGATGGAGCCAATGAATAAAAAACAAAGTGATATGCACGCACATTTTTTAAAACAAACTACCAACACCAGTTTCATAAAGGTCATTGACCATTTCCACTGAAAAGCTTCATGAGTGGTATCTAAACTCCAGAAAGATTGGATGTTGATGCCACCAATTGCATAATATCTGGATTAAAGAGCTGGCAATGTATTGAATGTTATGTCGATCCAGGCTCTGAGAACACGATTGTGAGGACATAGACGAATTCATTGTATCTCAGATTCAGGGTATGTGTTTTGACATGGCACCTCTCCAAGTGAGATATCAAGGAGATACCATGATGATATGGCAGTTGAAGATGGTGATGGAGTGAAACAGGTTGACAAAGTTGAGGTGTGAACGTCCGAAGAGAAGAGAACCATTTGGCCGCCAAGAACAAAGATACGATGATGCTGGTACATAGAAGATCTTCATGAGGGGCCTGCGGGTGAAAGACCCTTGTATCATCAAAGCTCCAAAGCACAACATTCTGGAGAAAGACCCGTATATTACCAATAGATATCAGGGTTGAGGATGGCAACAAGAGTTTTTCTCATACGTATTTCTATCTTGCGAGTGATCAAAGAAATACCAAAGATTTAAAACAGTTCCACAAGACTCCTTCCATCGAAGCCTATCATCATTCCACAACTTTTGCCATCCTTCTATCACATTTTCCATAAATATTTCACTCTCTTATTTTTCAGTTAAACAACAATGGGTAAGAAAGATATATGCATCTAAGAACATTGATAATTTTATTCTAATCAATTATCAAGCTCTCTCTTCAACTTGATCCCATTCTTTTAGGTTTATTTTCTCACTTTTCTAAAGAACATCGAGCCGTAAGTTTTTGCATTGTCTCACATTTTCTAAATACCTTTGCAACTCAATCAACTGGCTCTTCCTTTGAATTTTTAGAATGCTGAGTTTGAACAATTAACTCGAAGAGGTCCAAACGAAGGTTCACGAAAGGCTAGGTAAGTTCAATGTATTTCATCCTTTTTCATATTTTCTTTTTTTATCTTATGTTAACTTCTTTGGAATTTCTTCTTAGTGTTACACATCAATTATTAGCTGGTGCTGCTGCTTATGCTGCTTGTAAAGCTTATCAAGATCACAAGTCAGTTAATATCCTTCAATCCGAATGTTCTTATAAGTTTCTGAAACAAAAGAACACGATTCTTTTTTGTCTGGTTGTGTTTTGGTTGTTAATCTTGTAGGAGGAGACATGGAAGACCTGTTAATCATGCTCAGGTCAGTTCATAATCCTTGACTTAATCATCTTCAGAAAATCATTTCAGAATTATTCAACGTGTATCTCTCTCTCAACAGGCTAAGCAAATCGCTTGTGGATTGGCTGGGTAAATTTCTCACAAGCTCATAATCGACTATCTATATGGGATAACTCAAGCCCAATATAATTAATCATGGATTATTTTGTAGAGTCATGGTAGATCGACTTATTGAATCTCGTGGTCTTACTTCAATTGATAACCACAGGGCTAAAGACGCTGCAATGGTAGCAGTTATGGTTAGTTTTTTTTTTGAAAAAATAAATAAAAATAATTGTGTGTTGATATGGAAATTGAAAGTGGTTATTGATTATAATTTATTTCTCATGGTTTTTGTAGAGTGCGCTTGATAGGGATGGGTATTGAGCTTGTGATTAGTTTATGGACTTTGAATTGGTTAAAATATGTAAAATCAGATAAGAATAACATGATGTGAATCACAATCAGCATGCTTATTTCAGAAGTTCTTTGAAACAACGTTCTGGCTTCGGATGATTGACTTGATAGAAAAGAACGCACTTGTAAGACTTCAAGTTAAGCTCGGGTAACAACATCCTTGAATTGCACCAACTCCCCTTTCGCGCTGCACCTCACTGATATTCATGGCACTCTCAGGGCCTTGTAGTCTTCTCACTTCCCTTGTGAGGGGTCACCTACAGTCTGGCTGACTCTTCACTAAAAAGAAGTGTGTAAAAGACTAGTAAGAAGTCTTCACTGGTACACCCAAGTGAAGACTGCAGTTAATTGACCTCTAAGGAGAGGATTTGATGCCAGTGGGATGGCTGAGTAATCCCTCTAAGGATCTTACTCTGAGCTCTGGTTGATCTTACAACTCTGGAGCCTGCAGTACTTTAGACTCTGAGGATTCAGAGGTGCCGCGGGGTACTTTAGACTCTTTTAAAGAGGAACCCTTTGTAAATTCCAAGCTTGTTCTGTTAGCTATTGATCCCACCAGCTCAGAACACTACTTGAGGTTTTACAATAACCTGAATAAGAAGTAGAACTATAATAATCAAGATACAACTGAATCACTATACTCAATATTCTTGGTAAAGAATCAAGTAAGATGTGATGAGGAGTTGTGGTATGATAATATGTTGTTCTTCTTCCAGAGTGGGAAGAAGAGGGGTTCATATATTCCAGACCTAGGCGTCAACTTGTGGTTGGCGCTTAGGTTTGCTTTTCTTTTGAGTTAGGTTTGGGTTAGGTTTACTATGAGGTTAAGTCATAGTAAGTCTTGTTACTTAAGTGACTCTTGAAACTGAGCCATGAGTTGTAATTCTTATGGTTTTAAACAAGTTTCATATATTTACATATTATTTACATATGTATTACATGTATTTACATGTGTGTTTGTTAGTCCGTGGTAGGGCTGTGACCCGGACCCGGCCCTGCCCGGCCGAGTCTGCCCGAGGGTCTCTAGGAAGCTCACAGTCCGCGCCCTGGGGCACTTAAACCTAACCTGATGAGAGTGACAAACGCCCTGCGGGCGTCCCGGGCGACCTGCCCGGCCCGGGCAGCCGACTCTCATTAGGCCATTTTCTCTCACGATTGTCGCGATTGGAGTAGATTCTCGATCAACAAGTTCCTGTCAGATCGTCTCATATTGTTTTATGTCAACCTCATCGCCTAGAATCCCTGTCACAAGATCTGCTTCTTCTTTACATCGTTCTGTCATGTCTTCTAGTATTGCTCCCTCAGATTCCATCTCCGAAGTGGCCTCCAATACTACAACTACCGCACGTTTGTCTTGGGTGTGGCAATACTTTGTCACCGAAGAGGTCGACGGCGTCCTCAAGAACGTGTGCCGAGCTCAACAAGGCTTCATCAACGCCAACACCGCTGCCAACAACGCCGACGCACCCACTGTCATCTGCAACAAAGCTCTTGCTATCGACAAGAACGGCTCTACAAAATCGATGAGCCGACATCTTGATTGTGCACATCATATTGAACCGCCTGTTCAAACCAATCAACCCAGCATTGCGGCCTTCTACATCGACGGGGAGCCAGTCCAAGTAGGTTTTTTTCACACTTTCGTTGTTTTGTACTTTGTTTTTCACTGACTATTATATTTACTTTTCTTTTTTGTCTTTTCTTTCATTTTTCCTTCTTTTTTATTTCCTCTTGTAGGTTCAACCTCTCAACAGAGCCAACCTCAAGGAGGCTCTCATCCGTTTGGTTGTTAATCGAGAGGTTCCTGTCTCTTTTGCCAACGGCAGGGAGTTCCGCGAGATCATCAACATGATCAACCCCGCGGCTTTTGCCATACTTTCTAAACGAACTGTGATTTCCGAAGGAATTCTAACCACCTTCCGAGCCAAACAATCAGCCATCATCAACCTTCTCTCTTCTGTCAAGCATATCAGTATCACATGCGATGGATGGACTTCTCCAACCAACATCGCGATGCTTGGTGTGACCGCGCACTGGATTTCTGACGACTTTAAGCTCCGTGGTATTACTCTTGCTTTGAAGCCAATCGATGGACCTCACACCGGTTCCAACTTGGCTTCTCACCTCAAGCAAATCTTGGACTATTTCCACATCTCCGAGCGCTTATATTGCATCACTGCCAACAACGCATCCAACAACACCACCATGGGCCAAGCCCTCTCGACCATGATTCCTCACTTCGACACTTCTCAAAGTATTCATGGATGTATCGCACATGTCATCAACCTTGTGGCCAAGGCTGGACTTGCTGTCTTTGATTGAAAGGATCAATTTTCATCCGTCAACGCTCTCAATCCTGCCATACCTCAAGATCCATCTTCTGTTCCCTTGTTTGTTGAACCTACCTCCACTGCCGAGATCAGAAGCATACTTACTTGAATCCGTGGATTTCACAAGAAAGTCAAGCACAGTAGCCAGCTCAAGACCTCCCTCGACAATGCGATTGCAAGCTGTGGTGTGTTGGAACAGAAAGTCAGTTTAGTTCATGAGGTTTCAACTCGATGGTCATCAACCCACGCATCACTTGCCCGATTCATTCACCTTCAAGTCGTCTTAGATTATCAGTTTAATTGTAACCCACCACTTGAGGCTTTCAAACTTGATCACGAAGAGTGGGCTTTGGTCAAAAACTTAGTCCAGTTTCTAGCTCCTCTTGCTGCCGTGACCAAACGTATGGAAGGCCATTTGTATCCGACTTTCTCTCTTGTTATGCCAGACTATCAGTGGCTAGTGGCACGGCTTGAAGCTGTAAGTATTTTTTGCTCTATTCTTTACATTTTTTTTTCTTCTTGTTTATTTCTTTTGTATGAATCGTTACTGATTTTAGCATTTGTTTGTTTCTAGGCCTGGGTTGATTCAAGATGCAAGGAACTCAAAGCTGCGATCATGCCGATGGTCAAGAAGATCCTTCAATATCAAGAGGCTGCCCAGACGAAGGCAGCCTACGTATGTTCAGCAATCCTCGATCCCCGTCTTAAACTTAACGCCATCAAAGCTCAGACTATGGAATCACTCGGTTGGGGACAAGAAGATTTGATTCAATACTTCACTGATCACGCCGCCAGATTCAGACCAGCTCCAGATCCCGACATCGAGATCGTCAAAAATGAAGAAACCCTCGACGCTGATCGTCCCCAACACTTCATAAAACGTCGCAGAACCATCCCGATTGAGCACGAGGTAAATGAATACCTCACTGCACCACAAGAGGATGAGACTTGTGACCCACTTGTTTTCTGGCAAACTCACGAACGTCACTGGCCCAATCTTACTCGAATGGCGAAGGCAATGCTTGCTGTACCTGCCACGAGTGCTCCTTCGGAGAGTAGCTTTTCTAACGCATTGAGAGTTATGAGCGATCACCGAGCCTCTTTCACTCCTACCAATCTCGAGGCTCAAGTCTGTCTCAAGAGCTGGAATAAAGTCTTAGTTTAATATTACTTGATGAAGTATAATCGACAAAGTTGTTCTTTATTTTCTTTTTCATAATCAAATAGGTTCTTGATTAAATACACGAGAATTTAAAGTAGAGGCAGAGTTTCTTTTTATCTAAGTAGGTGCTCAATCTTGTCCTCTCTTGTTATCGAGTTTCTTGTTATCCAAGTATCCTATCAAAGTCGTTTTCTCTTGTTTTCTAAGTAGGCTCTCAACAGGATAAGTCCTCATTGATTTGGAAATACCAGTCTCAAAAGTTATCCCCCGTTCAAGTTTTATTGCCCCTACCAGTGAGCCTCGATCAATTTTTAACTTTTACGTGAGCCTCAATCGAGTTTTAAGTGAGCTCGAGTCATTCTTGCCCCTAGATGTGAGCCTAGAGCCGCCAGGCCCCGTGGCCGGGCTTTCAGGGTGTGCCCCGGTCGGCCATGTGCATTTTTTGGAGGCCCTCGGGTCTACCGAAGCCGGATCTGGCCCCCAAGGCCGGCCACGAACTCTCGGGGCCGGGCCACAGCCCTAGTCCGTGGTCCTGTACACAGGGCTCAGGGTCAACACTTGACAATTCTATAAGGCTGGTATGCTTATAGAATTCCAAATTTAGCAGAATGGAAATGTTACGTGTATGTAGATTTCACTACACCTCCTTGACACACTGTAATAAACTGCTCACGTGCCCTGTCCACTATTTTGGTCAGTAATTTAACAAAATAGTAGATTACTAGTACACAATGTCACACTATGTATGTAATCAAAGTTGCACTAGATATGTAATATCTTATTAGATTTCTTTTCCCAGTGTACAAATGAGTATTACCTCAATTGAATCAAGGATGTGTTTGAAATTTGTACTTGCAGGGTTCTTCTAAAGAAGGAATCTAATTGTTTCAATGAAAATTTGAAATAAAGATTAGTATTTTGATTCTAAAAACTAAGGAAATACTTGTGATCACAATTAAATGTGATCTTAAAAAATAAGGGGAAAGAAGAAAAAAAATTCTAGAATTTGAAGGAAAAGAAATAGATATTTTTGGTATTTTTTATTTTTTTATTTTATTATATAAAAGAGAAGTAGAGTAAAAAAAATGAGACTGGACAGATAGAGGTCTGTAGGAACAAAAAACCGGATGAGGCCCCCAAATTGTGAGGGGTCAGCTACAGTCTGGCTGACTCTTCACTAAAAAGAAGTGTGTAAAAGACTAGTAAGAAGTCTTCACTGGTACACCCAAGTGAAGACTGCAGTTAATTGACCTCTAAGGAGAGGATTTGATGCCAGTGGGATGGCTGAGTAATCCCTCTAAGGATCTTACTCTGAGCTCTGGTTGATCTTACAACTCTGGAGCCTGCAGTACTTTAGACTCTGAGGATTCAGATGTGCCGCGGGGTACTTTAGACTCTTTTAAAGAGGAACCCTTTGTAAATTCCAAGCTTGTTCTGTTAGCTATTGATCCCACCAGCTCAGAACACTACTTGAGGTTTTACAATAACCTGAATAAGAAGTAGAGTTATAATAACCAAGATACAACTGAATCACTATACTCAATATTCTTGGTAAAGAATCAAGTAAGATGTGATGAGGAGTTGTGGTATGATAATATGTTGTTCTTCTTCCAGAGTGGGAAGAAGAGGGGTTTATATATTCCAGACCTAGGCGTCAACTTGTGGTTGGCGCTTAGGTTTGCTTTTCTTTTGAGTTAGGTTTGGGTTAGGTTTACTATGAGGTTAAGTCATAGTAAGTCTTGTTACTTAAGTGACTCTTGAAACTGAGCCATGAGTTGTAATTCTTATGGTTTTAAACACGTTTCATATATTTACATATTATTTACATATGTATTACATGTATTTACATGTGTGTTTGTTAGTCCGTGGTCCTGTACACAGGGCTCAGGGCTGACATCCCTCAAATCCATAAAATATAGTGCGACTAGAACCGCACCTTACGCAGCCATTGTCAAGTCAATGTACGCCTGTCCCTGCAGATTTAGCGTCCTTGGATGAACAGTCCGCAGCCCCTGCTCTCCGGAGGACATGAGATAAATAGAATGTGGCTGGTATCTTCATGCGAGCAATAATAAACATCAAGTATTTATCTAGCACAGTTGCTTCATCGTGTGTGCAACTGGCCCCTAGTACATATATGGCGTCAATTCCTTATCTAAAATATGGGCCAGACTTGCATAGATACTGTTCAATCCTTTTCTGCAGCGGTTAACGTCGCATCAGGGCAATTTCAGTGCTTTTTCAAGGAATAGTCTGAGGCACGTTGGAGCTTTTAAAAGTCTCTTAGAGTTTGACCACAAATTGCTAAGATTAACGCATGACGGCCCCGGAGGGTCTGACTCGAAACTGCAACAACCGGAAGCCCGATGGGGCGGCTACTACAACTAAGATAATATACCCTAATAGGAATGGGAGGGATGGTGGGCACAAAAAATTTGTATCTAATTTTATAAACTTTGTTATGGAGATGAAGAAACAGATAGCTGAAAACCGTGAGAACAAAGTAGATGAATAAAATAAGAATAACAAATCTGAGTAAAAGAGGAAGAAGATTACAACAAGACTGGTTTTTTGTATAGAAGGTAAAGAGCTACGCGTAACCATTGCTGTGCTAAAAACCGTGAGTTAGTAAGATCTTCTCTGGGATTTTTGGGAGCGCTTTTCAGCAAACTCAGATCAAATTCCAAAGCCACTTCACCTGGCCCCGATTCCTGTAAGTTAAAACAAGTTCCAACTACCAGTTCAGTCTGTGATTGATTTGCACTTTTCAATTTTGATTGTTCCTGTTCTATTCTAAAAATGTTTTGTTATTGTTTGCATTTGAGTTGACAATTATTTTTTGCCTTGTTAGGGCTCAACCGTGCCTTTCACATCTTGTGGAACGCAAACAACATACTTTTCCATATTGCGGGATTGACACCTTACTTTCAGTTTTATAGTTTTTAACCCCTAGCCCCTGACCCTTTATTTTTTTTTGTTCTTTGAAAGATTGAATTAATTCTGTGCTGTTGTTAAACCACCAATACAACTATCTAATTTTTTTAATAGTTTATTGAGGGATGTTATTGTTACCTTTGCATCATTGCAATTCACTCCTTGGTTTGAGTGATCTGCAATATTTGATGGCCAGCTTTTGAAAACCTGACTTCAAAATTTGTGTTTTGGCCTTGGTGTACATTTATTTTTCACTCCTATAATCTTGACTTACTTTCATGAATCCCTTCTTAAGATTTTTTTTGGTTATATGTGCCCAAGTCTGGTATCATATCAGAGAATCCAAAAGACTTTGTGCAAGATGTCCACTTGACTTCTGTAGGGTGGATTGGGTCCTTGCACCCTTGGACAAGCCAAGGTGAGCAACTCTCTTTAATGAGTTCACATGTGGCACTTGAGTGATCAAGACATCTGCTCAAAGGTGCTCTTCTTACAGTATGTCAGGGGGGGCGTGGGGTGGGGTAGTGAGGGGCCTCTAGCCCAGGGTTGGTTTCTGTAAACCAAGCTTCCCTGGCCGGAGTCTTTCATTGGGTTGGTGGGTGTGACACCTTTTTGTATGGTGGGTGGGGTAGAGCAGAAACCTATCGTGCTGAGCTGAGGTAGTGTGATCTTCTTGAAGACTTGCAGTGAGAGTCAGTTGCTCTGACTGGCATGAATGAATGGATGTGAAAAACCTCGCACCTTGTGATGAGCAAAATGTTTCTACACAATTCTTCTGATGTGTCTTTTACAGGTTGGACAAGTCCTTCATGGACGAGTCAACCACCTGTGAGATAGTGGTTTTGATGATGGATAATCTTTTCATCTTGAGTTACATATCAACCTACATGAGTCATTATGAATTCCAAAGTCATAAGTATTCACAATACTTTTCATACATCAACCTGGCGTTCTCAATTATTTCGCTTCTCTTCAATTATCAGTCACGTTGACAAAAGGAGACGCGGGAGGTTAAAAGAAAAGACACACACCACTCCCCGCGGGGGTCGAACCCGCAATCTTTGGATGCCACAATCGAGCGTAGAAGTCCAACGCCCTACCTTTAGACTAGGGGAGCACATGTCAAAAATGTCAGTTTTGCCTACATAATGCTAGTACGAGCAGAAGGCTTTTCACCATGGACTCCACATTGACGATACATGATTCACTGACGAAGATGATGGATGTAATGTTGAAGATCAGAAACCAAAGTTGATACTTTCAAGAGTGAATTTGAACGAGTGAGTTTTTTATTTTCAAGGAGTTGAGAATGAATCCAATCCAGAAAATCTGATACTGATTCCTAAAAGTTGATTGGAAGCCAGTTTACCAGAATTGAGATTTGATTGAACTCATCAAGACTTTCTTACGATCAAGCTACCGACCTATTCGAAAGACAACAATCTCGAGAAGATACTTTAGATGATGATAAGACGATCCACTTCACACTTCAAAATATTTAATCATCTTTATCAAACCAGATTCATTCCAAATCAATTTAAACTATCAAATCAAACTTCATTTCTTAACGGTTATCAGAATCGATCTCCTCAGAAAATCAAAGGCTTTCATCTATTCCATCATCAATCAAATCAAACTATCAATCACAGTCAATCAGAATCAGAATCGAAACCAGAATCAACATCAACATCAAATCATCAACTCATTTCACCTTATTCACCAAAACATGAAATCAATTCATTCAAAAAACCATTCTACATCACCAACCAATCCAAGTTTTCACTCAACCCTACCATCTATCAATCCTTATCAAAATCAAGACTATCGATCTTAATAGTCTTAACGACCATGTCAAGTTACGCAGTTTACCCGAACCCTACCACCGATCTCATAAACCAATCACATCAAATCACCATCTTATTATCGACGGCCTTGGGCACTTTTTTGTCTTCTGCTTCGGCAAATACGTTTAATCAAATCTTAGAATCTCCTATGGATGCTCAAATGAATAGAACAAGAAATAGACCGATGGTACGGAAATTGATCTCAAGTGGTCATGCTACTACCTTTGCTCTCCTCTCTGCTCTTTCGGGAACCAGCATTCTATACTTCGTTGTGAATCCGATTGCATCTTACATTTCCATGATCACCATCTTGACATATGTGTTGATTTATACACCTTTAAAGCGGATCTCGATTCTCAATACTTGGATCGGATCTATAGTGGGAGCTTTACCACCCTTAATCGGATCAATCTCAGCTGCTGGTCATCTAAATTCTTGGAATGCGTTGTTTCAACTTCATTCTTGGCTTATTCCCATCTTATTATACGTTTGGCAATTTCCTCATTTCAATGCTTTGTCTCATACGATCAGAAGAGATTATGTGAAAGCAGGTTATATGATGTCATCAAGTTTAAATCCTTATTTGAATTCTAAAGTTTCCTTAAGATATTCTTTATTATGTTTTCCTTTATGTAGTTATCTTATACCGGTTTATGAACTTTCGAATTGGTATTTTGCTTACCTTAGTTTGATTCCTAATCTTTATTTATCTTTACCGGCTTTTAGGTTTTGGTGGTCTTCTTTAGATTCAGCTTCGGTTTGGATTAAATGCTTGGGTTGGTTTATGAATCAGAATAAGAATGGAAAAAAACATTATTCGAAAGATTTAGAAGCTAAGAAATTGTTTTGGGCTAGTTTGATTCATTTACCTAGTTTATTAATCTTAATGATTCTTTGTAGACCTTAATATGATTTACCACAAAACAAACTGGTTACTTTTTATTCTTTCTCTTTTTTTTTATTATAAAAATCATTTTTTTAACATTATAAGCATATGGAAAGATAGATTGTGTGTAGGTGCAGCATAAGTAAAAGAATTGATGATTTGTTTTAACAATCAAAGTTGATCAGACTTCAACACCTGAAAGTGCTCAGAAGATCTTGTTGCGGGGTTTGGGAGTGACGGCGCACCAGCACGGTAATTTTCTTAAAAGAAAAAAAGAAAAAAAGACACTGTAGTTGTCTTCAAGACATTCAAAGGTTAATGAAGGTTGTTCAGCCTTTGATTACAATCACAAGAAGATGGATTAGATTAAACTCCTTCCAGGATGTGCATTGGGCTTCACATTGATGAGCCATTGAATCCAAGCTATTGAATATGAGAAAGCTCAGCTGATTGGATTCAGTTTGGGGTGTTGTAGATGATCTAGCAATTGAGCTGGGTGATTGAAGTTGATGATGTTGTTGGGCAAACCAAGGGAATAGCAAGTTTTTTTTGTATCAAGCTCTCACCCAGATCTAAACCATGGCCCATACCTACCCCGAGCTCTGTCTTATGGAATTAGAAAATTCATATCAACTTGACTGATCTTGTCTGCTTAACTAAGCCTCTCATGCACCCTTGTCTGTGCCCCCAAAAGAGGAATCTATGACTCAAATGGGGTTTTTGGCTGTGTGATAACAGAAATTAAGTCAAGTGAATCTGAGGTTCCACATTGCTTAGCTTCTCCTTTGAGATTTGAGGAAGACCTGGAGATATAAGTGCTTCAGTCTTGGTTTCTTGTTCTTCTTCTCAAGATTGGGCTCTAATTCTTGACACAGGAGCAACTTGTCAAATGCTCAAAGTCAAGATCAGATTCTTTTATCTATCCTCCCTCATGAGGATCAACAACACCAGTAAACAACTCAAATCAGCCAATGAAAATGTGTCCTTAGCTGTGCATAGCCATGGAGTTGTTAAGTTGTTGGCCAGTGATAAAACACCCTTTGAAATCCAGAACAGCCTTCTTGTTTGGGCCTAAACTTTCAAGAAACCTCATTGCTGGTGCTTTGTAAACACCAAGGTGTGTGTGGGGTTTCTTTTGGCCATAGCACAAATTTTTCTTTAGTGTCAAATTTTGTTACAATTTTCAATGGATTCATCTCCAACAACAATTCCATGTTCATTCTATTATTTTTTTCCCACTACCATGTAATGATGGTCAAGGAATCCTTTGATATTTAATTCATCTTGATACATCAACAATAAATGTTTGAACTGAGCTTCAAAGACTGACATAAAAATATCATGCCTAAGAACATCTTCCTTGCTTGTAAATTTGTCATAAAGGGTTTTGAAGGTTTTATAAAACAGCTTCCAGGATGCTTGTTGGGCCAAATAATTTACATGCTCTTCCATTGTGGCTTCCCATTTGAACAAGAAATGATTAAGTCCCCAGCAGATTAGGTCTAATTCAAGCTCATCACAAGGGTTTGGGCTCATGAGAACACCAGTTTGCACAGAGTTGGTCAAATCTGTCACTCGAATATCATTCCAGTAAGGAAGTCGGGCTCTAACTGGGAAGTGTTTGAACAATTATTTTGCTCAAACCCTGACAGGGATGGTGGAAGAGGTAATAACTTTGAGTCTCAAAACATTCATGTTTAAAGATTTCTTTGGATAATTGACTGAGAGAAGAGGTTTGAACATATCAGTTATTTATACTTCAAAATTAAATTGCACACAACAAGTACACACATGTATTGTACATGAGTCATCTCATATTTGCAGTATGTATGTGCCAAGTGCATCACTTTGATGGATGCTACAAGACCATCTCTTGAGACCCTTTGTTTGAATTCAAGGGGGTTTGTACAATAGACTTAGCATTTGTGACATAGTTCTATAAGAAGGTAATGAAAGCTTTTTTTATCAAACTTTAGCAGGAGTACAAACAAAGTCTGCTCATAGGCAACACATGGAAGAAACATGGTCTTTATATCACTTCATCATTTGAGTCTAATCACATATCAAGGGGAGTACAGCGGGCAATGTGAACATGGAGAAAGTACCTGCAGCTTAATTACACAAAACTGGGAAGAGATTTTGGGAACCAAAGCTTTGTGAGGCTTGGCATCTATCACAAGTCTTGGTCAGATCTGAGATAGTTTTGTATCAATATGTAGTGAGTTGGGTATGCGGGAAACTCCAGTCAACAACTATTTGGATTTATTGCTTGGAATATACAGCCGTTCCAACAATTATCGGCAGAAATCTTCATTGGTCTGTTGCATCCAAATTTAATCTAAAAGTCAAAAACTAGTTAAAGCCGGCTCAAAGTGACAGGTCTCCCAGGCCTCCTTGTTCATTTGTGTGCAAAACTGGGTTTAATCCAGTTTTGACCTCTCTAAATTTAACCTCGAGAGTGACACACAATCAAAGAGTTCTGCCGTTAATTGTTGGAACGGCTGTAACAATGACAGCACACATTTCAATTTCAGAATTTTTAACAAATTACAAAGTGACCATGAGACAAAAACATTAGGTGGGTCTTGTTGTATGAAAGTGTATTCAGGACTGCAGGTCAAAGAAACAGAGGAGTTTGCCAAAGAAGACAATGATCAATCTGTGTGTGTTTAGTACCTTGTGTTGTCAGATAAAATGTTGTGCTGACTCTGATAAGACTGTCTATCTCTGATGAATGTCCAAATTTTTCAAAGGGACAGCTGTCTTTATTGCTGAAGTTCAAAGGCTATACATAATTTCTGTGAAATGTATTTTGTGTGTGCACATTGATGTGCTAACAGGGAACAGACAAGGTGTATGTAGTGGGTGACTGACCTTCCTTGTTTAACTACCAGAAGGAAGTTACGGTGTAGTAGATGGGATGCCTAGCACACCATGCAGAGCTCCCCATCTACAAGGCCGGTTTGTCCCACCCCCTCAGCCCTCACGGCTAGGGTTAACCTCAAGAAACCTACAGTCTTTCCTAATCAGAAAGGTTCTGAGTTTGCTAGGGCATTCCATATACACACATGCACTACTTATTGTGTAAACCAGGGGGTAAGTGGCATGTTCCCAAACTATGATCAATAATGACAGACACATTCCACTTTTCAATTGTTTTGAGACGTGCCAGAACCTGTTCAGGGGGAGCCAAACAGCTCTTGTTTCCTGGATGAAAAAAACACTGGATGTTAAACCATCTTGAACTCATTTAGATGCCTGTTCAAGGAATTTCTGATCTGTCCCTGGGGAAACCACTATTTACCGCCCGGAATGAAAAAACCCAACACCCCCTTGTCGGATACCGCCCGGGCGGTAAGCATGATGCCGCCCGGTTTTAAATCTCAAATAATTGTAGATAGAAGTACAAGTTCTCATAGTTCTCATCTCACTCTCATTGTTTGTGGGTCCTTAATGTATTGTAGAAGCCGTGTTTATTTAAACGCATTGTTTATTTCACCACAAATAAACCAAAAACAACAAGACATAATAGACAAAGATTGAATCGCACACAAAACAGCCAATGTGATATCAAACTAAACTAAGATTTTCCCACACTTCCAACTCTTTGTGGAAAGCCTGGACCCATTGCGGTATCTGAGTGCTATTAAGCACTTCTGAATTCAAAACCCGCCCATAAACTTCAGGATACGGCACCAAATCATGCCCAACACCTAAACTGACAAAATGATGATTGTTCACAAATGCTAGTACTATTGGAGATTGATTGTTGGGAGGTGTTCGATATGGGAAGAAGCTGTAACAGCTGCTTCTAGACGGAGTGAAAAGGATCACTGGCCGATCAAATGCACTGGCAATAACAAAGCCCAGTGTTGGCATTCTCAACCAGTATGCATCGGTGCAAGAGATACCCTCATGATCAAGCCAACCCATTATTTCTTTTACAAATGTTTCCGCCAACGATTGTTGAATCTTTGTGTTTCTCCGTGGTCGCTTGGAAGGTGTGGATAACAACTTGACATGATCTTGGGCGTTCAGAGTGAGTTCAGCTTGAAGTTTTTTACGGATCACAAGGTAGGCGTCATTTGAAAAGTTGTCCATCAATGCTGCGATGGCATAGAATCCACAATTACCAAATGGTGGAGGATCATGGATCGATTGGATGTACGGCGCAATATGGGCTGGAAGTTGATTCAATATTGCTTGATTCTTGGAAGTGTGAAGACCGCTTTTCACAAGCCAAGTATCCTCCTCCTTGGCCTCGATCTCATTCTCGACCTTGTCCTCTTCCTCAAAATCCATGTCGACCGGAAAGACCATTGTTCCAAATTTTCGACTTGCTTCAAGAGTTGCTTTGACCTTAGGATTGTTTCGAGGTACCCCAAGATCCTCGGAAATCAAACATAGGCTGACTTCAGGAACGAGGACAGATTTGATGTAGTCATCAGGTGTAAGAGGTGCGGCAAGTTCATTGGTGAGAGGGTGTTTTGATGATTCAGATAAAAAGAGCCGCTCAAGCTTCAAAACAATAACTTCTAGCCCTTTGTATCCATAGCTGAGAGATCAAAGGGTCAGTGATCCAAAATCAGCGCTTAAACAAATTGATTTGGTGGACTTACTATCCAGGTTGCTCCACCTCAAACCCATCAAACTGCGCGGCCACACTCATCCGGACACCAGTTTTACGTCCCTCTCTTGCGAGTTTCAAGTAATCTGATCGCGTCTTTTGCTTGATGATTTTCAAAAGAATGTTGACATGCTTGTCTATGCGGCTGTTTTCAAAAACAATAGATATCAGTGTCCTGGCTTAAGTAGACTCGAAAAACGTAGATGAAACATACCTTTCAAGTAATTCAAAGTCAATTGATGTTGGCCATCCTTGACTAACACCATGAGGTATGACATCGCGTTCCGCATCGTGGAGTTCACAGAAAGATGCCCTTTGAAGCCACTAGAGAGAGAAAATGTTAATAAAAAAGGAGTCATTTGTATATCAAAAAGAAAATATTCACCGGTAGATGTATTGCACCTGGGCGACCAATACCCTTTGTCGCATCAGGCATCACAATAAGTTCCGCTTGCATCTTCAAGAGTTTCTTTGAAGGGTTAGGGGGCATTTCTTCGTCACAAAACGGACACAGGACTTTGCCATCATCTGATTCGTTCCACAGGTTGGGAAGAAGTGAATCTTCACTATTATCTTCAATCGCATCAATTGTTCCGTTGTTTGTCTGTTGAATATTCTTGTTGTTCTCTTCAAATTCCTTTTCAATTTCTTCAAATTCCTTTACAATCAAGTCAATATCTTCTCTTCCAATCTCCCTATCTTCATCTTTAACATTCTGATTCACTTCAATTTCGTCATCTTCATCAGGAACATCACGTTTAGGGCATGTGGTCCGAGTGTGACCACTCTGTCTACAAATACTACATTTGTTGACCCGTTTCTTCTTGGCTTCTTTGACTTCATCCTTTGAGTTGTTCTTTTCAATATCATCTTGTTCTACATCCAGATCTTCATCTTCAACATACTCAAGATCTTCGCTTTTGGAGTCGGCACCGTGATCTTCAGCAGGTATTTCACGTTTAGGGCATGTGGTCCTAGTGTGTCCGCTCTGTTTACAAATACTACATTTGCTGACCTTTTTCTTCTTGGCTTCTTCGACTTCATGCTTTGACTTGTAACGGCCATATTTAGACGTAGCAGGCTTTTGAGTATCGGTTCGTGGACAACCACGATTGTTGACCTTGACAACGGGGGGTAAGATAGGTACTAGAGCAAATCGACCGGTCTTCATTAAGTTTATCTCTTCATAAATCTTCCTGAGTGATTGTTCTGGCAGTGAAAGTAATGAGTCGAATTTCAGACGGGCAGCAGTCTCAAGTCCTTCGCGAGATTCCGGAGGGATGTCCATGCCCAATCGCCATTGATCGTGAACATGATTGAGAGATAGGAATTTGGATGTGTTGCGTTCAGAGGCGATGTCATGTGAACAGGGCAATCCCCAACTAGTTCGAAAAGTGCCAGTGCAAGTTGTGTTGTAATGTGGCTGTGAGAGTAAATCGAGTTGTTCCTTTATCTTCTGGATCGCGAAATGAGTAATGTGACCGTGGAGGTTTTCTAGAAAGTCTGGGACATCTTGAAGAGTCTTACCACGTTCAATGCCTGAAGAAACAGTGATCTCGTTGAATTGATGCTCCCCGTGGCGTTTGAAAGCGTTGAAACAGGTCAAGAAATCACTGTTCTTGCTTTCAATAAACGATTTCAGGCCAAAATGGCTCCCTTCGACTCGTGAGGTAGATGAATTGCCAAAGTGTGGAGTCGAAGAGGTGAATAGGAGGACAAATTTGTTCGTTCGATCAAGCCAAGTTCGTTCGAGGTATGTAAGGATGTTGTGTTTTTTAGCGATATCAGTCACTACTTTCAAATTTCTGTCGTAGTCCGGAGCAGTCGATGAAAAACAGAATTGGTTCCATGCTGCAATGAAGTTGTCCCACTCGGATCCTAATTCTTTCTTGCAGTTCCTACCGATGTTTTCATTTATGTGCCATATGCACAGCATATGACTAGAATCGGGGAAAACTTTCCCAATGGCATTGAATAGAGCCGGTTCAGCATTGGTGACAAAAGTCTTCGGTTGCCGAATAGAGGTGTTACCAGCTGAGTCATTTGAATCGAATATGATAGCCTTCAGTTGATTCAAAGCCCATTCATATTGTTCTTCAACTTCATTGTGCATAAAACACAACGCGACAGTAAAGGACTTATGACTGTTCGTAGTCCCGACGATGTGTAAGAGAGGCAAGTTGAAACGGTTGGTTTTGTAGGTGCAGTCGATTCCGAGGACAGTTGGAAATCGTCGAGTGAGGCAAATAGCGTCAGGGGAAGCAAAAAAAACGATTGAAGGACTCCAGTTGGTGAGGTAACGGTCCGAAACGCCCAGTTGAGATCAGTGACGAGATCGAGTAAACCTTGGATTGGTGTTCTGCCATTGAGCCATGTCTTCTTGTGGCGTGCACGGGCATTATAAATATCTCGAACCAGGGGTTTTGACCCAGGAGGCACGTCAAGAAGAGTGCGAATCTGGCGAGGTCGGCATCCTGCTGAAGTAAATAGAGCCACCTTCTGATCGTTCTCGGGTCCAATTTGTCGATACCGGCTTTCATCAGAGGGGTCGTTGAAGGCGGGGTGATTATGAGCATTCTTGAGAGGGTGCTTGATTCCGTCTGAGGTGACAATCCAGCGTCCCTTGGAAGCATGGAAGTTCAGGGACACCTCAAAGGTGCAACCGGTTTTTTTTGACGAAGACGATCGAGATTTGATGGGGTCCTTAGAATCATCGGTTTTGAGAGACGGTTTGATCTTCACATGGCTACTTGCCTTTGAACATTTGAGATATGTCCGGATGATACCACCTTGATCGTTCGTCTTGTGGCTCTTGGTTGATAAAACATAACCTTGATGGCGCGCAACCGCATTCAAATACAAGAGTCCATTTTCCCGCTCAACAAATTGTTTCCCAATCTGGGGATATGCCATGGTCCGCACCGGTTCAACCCCTAAAGACACATGATTTAATGATGTAAGAGGTAAGCAGATAACTCATATCAATTGAGTATGATTCCAGAGTTGGTCAATCTTACCAATAGGGGGCCAATCTGTGTCTCGCTCGGTCTCAAAATCCTCTAGATCTAAACTTGTTTCGTCTTGATCGGCATTCTCTGTGATCCAGACGGTTGATAAGGCCAGAACAGGTCAGTGAAATTACTAACCCACAACTAAAACATCGTACATACCGGTGGTGTGAGTACTTGAAGGAACAGGCAAACTGTGGTTGTGTTCATTGCGATTAGGAGGTAAAGAAGTTGGAACGGTGGAGTTTGAAGAGGTTTGAACGCCAGGGTTTGGAATCGAGAGTCCACTATAGAGTGGATTCGGAATCAAGGGTTGTTGTGATAGCTGTTCGGTGGAAAGTTGAGAAACAATTGGGTGTCCGGCTGGGTTGGCAAATAAGAAGGGATTTGGGATGGGGAACCAAAGTTGGGGTGGCATTTGTGAAGGTTGATAGAGAGGATTGGACCGTGTTGGATCTGATTGGCTTGAGCTGAACGGGGTTGAGGCCGTTGACGCAAAATCGTTTCGCTTCTGCTTAGACATTCGGCTTAACAACGATAAAACAGAGGAAAAGTTGTAGGAATGGAATCTGAAATGGGGGAATGGCTGTAGATAGAAGTCAAAAAGAGTGACTATCAGTGAAGGGAGAAGGAGATTGTGTTCAACAGGGAGAGGGGACTGACCATCATGAGGCAAATCAACTTCCCTTGTTGATTTGCCTCAATTCGATGTTGGTTGCCCTGCATACAGGGCAAGAGGCTTGGTGGTTGGTTTCGTGGTGGTTAGTTCGGTTGGTGTGGTGTTCGTGATTTGATGGGTTAGCTTGATGGATGGCCGGATTGGGATGAAGGAGCTGGCTAAGTTTGATATCAGCTGGGTGGGAGGGCAGTTGATGCTTCAGAACTGCCCGGTTTGTTAATTGGGGGCAACACCGCCCGCAAAAATCGCCCCCTGTACTGCCCGCCGGGGCCTCATCTAGGGCAAAAAGGTTCAGTACTGCACGGGTATTCGCGGGTATTACCCCCAAAAAAGGGGGCGTCGGGTTTTTTCATTCCGGGCGGTAAATAGTGGTTTCCGTCCCTGGAACCTTTGGATGGAGGCTGTGTTAGTGTTGTTCAATATCAAAATGTCACATGATCAGTTTAGCAAGGCACACAAAAGTCCAAAGGAGGTGTCAATGGGATCAATGACTTCCATAATATCATCATTGTCCGGTATGGGAGTACATGCTACCACAAATGGAAGTTCAGTGTTTTCTTCATTTTTGGCAGTAAGGTGAGAAATGTCAAAAATGGGCAAGCATGTGAATGGATAGATATCTTACCTGAATGTGGCATCATGTGTTATGATGATCTTCAGTCTGTCATCAAAAACACCACATTGTTTTGATTATGCTCTGTATGACCAACTAAGATCCCATGTTCTGATGTTTGCACATATTTACCATCTCACTCAGGTTTACAAATCAATATGTAAGTGAGGCGTCCAAAAGCTTTGATGTGCAAAATGTCAGGCTTTCTTTTGTACCAAAGTTTGAAAGGTGTTTTGCTCTTTGGAAGTGTATTTGTTGTGGTCCAATTGGCTAGGAACACTGCATTTTAATGGCCTTGGTGGATGGTTAAGTTGGATTCAATTAGCATGGCTCTTGCTTCTGACACAACAATTCTCATGGAGCACTCCAAAACTCCATTCTCTTCAGGAGTGTAAGCTGTGGTGACCCACAAGTAGATTCCTTCTTGTTGACAATAGGTGAGTAAGACATTTATATCCTCAAATCCAGATTCACCTCCTGGATTTATTATGCCATGTCATAATAATGACAATGCTTCAGGAATACAGAATACAGGCAGATGAATACCAGGATCCCTCTGCTTCCCACTTATGACTCACATAAGTACAGCTGTGGGTAGCAATAATTGATGAGGAATGATTTGCTGCTGATTCTCTACCAGTATCAAAGCTAAGATGTTCCAATTTATGATGTTCAAGAAGGGAAATATAAGTACTAATAGCACCATGAACTTCATCCTTTTCCTTACATTTCAGACTGATGATATGTTGGTAAGATGTGTTATTATTGGTGAAGAGGATGAGATACAGGCCCTTGCAAATAGCTGATGTGTGCATGATGCCACTTAATTCATTGTGGACATTATCCAAAGGATGTAGGGACCTGGTACATGATTTTGAGTGCAGTTGACAGTGAGCCTTAGGCATTTTCAAGCACAAGTATTTGACACAAGCTTCAATGAGGTTTGCTCAAATTAGTTATCTTCAACTGGTCAGACTTGGTGAACTTGGTGATCCACAAACTTTAGCTGAAGAATGGCCTTCTCCTTCTATAATTCAACTGAATTGGTTTTAGTTAGACTTGATTTACCTGGTCTGTCCTCCCCTTGAGATTAAAACACACATTGATCAAATCCTTACCTCTAGTCAAGATCATTTCTGATTCAATTGTTTTTGTATCTTTTTTTCTGTCTTGTTTAGAGGTGAAGATCTGAACTTTCTCTTAATTATACCAGACCCACACAAGAAATTTGCAATTGATTTTGGACATTCATCACCAGAAGAAAGCCAATCAACAATTGAAGATGTACCAGAAGCATTAATTCAATCAGGTGGAGAATTGGAACAATTACATAGTAATAACCTGTAAAGGAATCACTCAGACATGGGACAGCAGGGACTGCGTTCAAATTGTTTCACATGTTTCCGGATGAGATCACAAGTGAGCTGCGACGGGAAACGCGGTGTCTATCAAAGGTGTCTGTCACGATTCCGGTCTTTGACATCGGGATGGTTGACGGGGATGGCTCGTTTCGTCTCAGCGTGACAAACACACGTGTTGGTGTTTTGCACCTTGACCAGTGTAGGGCAGGTTCCAGCCACTGTTTTCACAATTTTCGTGGCTGGAACCGTCTCTTCACCGTGATCTCGTCGAAATGCCTAGACAGGTTTCCAGAACCATCCGAGGCCGAGGAAGTTTACCCCCTGGTGTAAACATCAGTCGTGAACTCGTTGCCTCCGGTAGTCAGATGTCGAAAGAGGTGGATATGCTTCCACTCGGAAGAGAAATCTAACCAAATTAAACCAACTGAAAAACTGATCAAATTGGTCATCAAAGAAGTTGAAAGCTCAACGTTGGTAAAGAACTTCTATAATTCTTGAGTAAAGCAGTCGAAGAGTTCTTTTGGAAAGTTCGGTTCACGTTCAAATCCGGTTCAAATTGAATGACTAAACCAGTCATAAATTTGTCTTATCTTACTCTTTTCGGTGAGACTAGTTACTGTCGTCTTGGATTTTTTTTCTTGCAAGGGACATGAATTGTAACAGATTGTAACACAGTGAAAAAAGGTTTCGTATATGCAATTAGTGTCTTTTGAAAGACTATATAAACCTTCACTTCCTTTCCTATTTTCTTTCCTTCCCAACAACATACATATCTCACTTACTTTATCAGTCTTCTATACCTTTACCAAACCCTTCTTACTACCTATACTTCATTTCACTTCTTTTCCTCAACCAAATTACTCTTCACTTTTTACAAATTCAAACCAAACATGTTTGCTACTGTCATCCCCCGCAAATTCATCTACGCGTAAGTCTTTCAAACAACTTCCTTTGCGTCCTCACCTTGAACCCAAATTTACACTTTCCATCATAATCTATCACAGATCGCTCCCTGTTGCATACTTTGCACATGTTATCTCTGTGAGAAGACAAACAAACGCCGATCGATTATTTCTACAAAACGGTACTGCAGAACAAATCAAATCCCCATCGGTTGAACGAAGCAATGGAGGAATTTAAACCAAAAAAAGTTATTTGAACTTGTTAGTAAGTCTTTCATTGAGACTCACCGTTATCGCTTCAGTTTCTAATTGGGTTTTTATAGCTTTTCGCCATAGTATCATCAGAATTTGATCTTGGGATCTTCAAAAGCAGTGTATAACACCAAACCCTTTTCACATTTTTCATGTATATCTTTTCTTGTACAGAATAAACTTCTCTTCCTCTGGGGTACATACTTTTTTCTTATTCCTTCATGTGAATCATGTTAGTTATCCAGAGTAGGCATGCGGGAGGATGTGTTGTTCACGATCACTCAGTGATGCGGCCAAAGGAGCGCATTTGACACTACATTAATCTAATACTTACGATACCACAAACAGCTTTGCCCTATGGCGAAATCGCAATTCCGCACAGAGCCATCTGTTATTACATCCAGAAAGACCCTCTTGCACTCCAAAGATGATCTCAATTGTTGAGTAATCCTAAAAAGCCTGTGAGAGCAAATAACAAGATTATTTCATCCCATATGCCTCCATCCACTTCATCTTTATCAACTTATCAATCCTCAATAATTACCCATCGAGAGAAGACCCGAAATTTACCTATTACAACATTCTGTTACATCCATACTTTTCAATTATATCCCATCCCACATATCCCTTCAATTCACTACCGCCGCCAGGACAAACAGCTTTCTTGTCATACGAAGATGACAATGGCAATCACAGATAGAGAAGCTAGAGTCGGCGCGATAACTCATAACAGACATTTGATCCTCGCAAGCGCAGATATGGAAAATGCTGACTCAGGAGAAGCCATTGCGCCGAATGGGGATTAAATTCAAACTCCAAATGACATCCAAACCAGTCTGAAATCAAATTAATGTCAACGTGAAGGTAAGATTTTTTTTTATGTTCATGATAAAAATCCCCCTTGAAGGTCAATCACCAATAATTTTCAAACAAAACGATCGATATTTCTAGAGGACTTGTCAATGTCATGGTAGCAAACAAACTATTGATGGCAAAGAACTATACTTGATATTGAAGCGAAGATATCTCCTTTTCTTATCGTGATACAATAAACCCACTTTTTCTGAGTTGGGAAAATCAATCAAATCGGTTATCAAAGATTGTAGTAATTTTGCGTAAATTTTATGCAATTGGGAAAAAAAAATTATGATAAAAGTAGTAAAATATTTTGACTTGAGCCCCCCTACACCACGGGGCAGTCGCGGTGTGAATTCCACATCTCCATTTGGCCCTATGGTGGTTCACGCGGCATTCACAAGAGGCGACTCATGTCGCGACCACAATCCATGAACAACATGGGTTTCACAGTACCGCCCACGTGGTAGTGCTGTGAAACCCACAGCGCTTCACTGCGTCGACTGTTTACAACTGGCAATGTGGCCAATTTGCTTCATGGCATTCACCTTCCATTCTGCTGGCCGCGCCGTTGCATTCCACCACGTGGGCGTACTCCAACAGGCTACCACATAGCATTTATGTGGGCTTCGCGTGATTGCGACATTGCTCGGCTTACAAGAGGATCAAAAAAAATCTCCTGACCAATCCAAATCGGATCAATCAGGAGCATGGGCTAAGCAGGATACAAACTTGGATGACAAAAACAAATTACTCCCTCAGGAGATCATGACAGAATCAAACACACTTGAAGTGATATGTATAACATCTTTTTAATTAGATATAACTCTCTGCTACCGTTCTACAATTAGTTCAATCAATGTTGCCTCAGATGTCTTGTTCCTAAATCCCTTGTTGATATGCAAAAAAGTGTGAGTAAACAAGATATAAAAGAGTCGATTGACTGGATATGTGATAGATGAGTGGTTGAACAAACATTTAACTGACACTAAACTGGTTGATACATAGTCAAGATGACAGAGTTCAAGCTATGTAGTTCAAGTGATTGAAAGAAGCCTAGAATATAAGAAGATATAAGACTCAAGATTATAGGTTAACCAATCTTGACGTGAGAACAATTCATGGAAAAGATTGAAGAACATTGTTAAAACAAGTCGATAATCACCAAGATGATCTACCAATAGTAAAGGATGTTTGATATAAAGAAAGAAGTGTGAAGAATGTTTGATATAAAGAAAGAAGTGTGAAGGATGTTTAATATCAATGATGAATGAGAGGTTTTTGATCTCATTGAGAGGTTGAAGTTCAAACGGTTTTTATAACAAAAAATTGATTGATCTCATGAATGACATCATATCGTGACGCAAGCTCTGGAACAACGGTCAACTGCGCAGTACACAGATGCTTCATTAGGGGGTTTCAAGTTGAGATTTTTTTGCTTATTTTTTAAAAATTTGGGCAAGTTTTTTGGAAAAAAAATATGCATAAAACCAACATATTTCTAAATAGGGACACCAAATAAAGGTGTCCCCCTTTATAAATAATTACGCATATTTTGCAACAACGGGCAAGTTGTTGTAGCGTAAAAATACGTAAAAAAAGTCAACTTGAAACCCCCTATTACACTCCATCTTGTTTGCAATGTGATCTTGAGTGGAGTATTCGTGCGGTCATGAGGAAGTCTGCACTGTGGCTACGATGAGGTCCTCATGAGGTGATCTCATTGTGGCCAGAGCTGATGTGGAAATCACACGGCGATTGATGTGGCAAACGTGGATCTGTTAGCCACGGTTTGCGACCTGATGGCAGCGTGGTCTTACTGCTGCCGTTTGTGACATTGCATCGATGCAATTCAAGCTTGCAAAGCTTTCAACGTTGGCGAGTTTCATCTGCATTTCAAGTCGATTGCTTGGTGAAATTCACATAGCCCTTGATCGCACTCTGGCAGCGCTTTTTCGCTCAAAGGCTGCCCGGTGGTGTAATGCTTCGATGTAGTATTTCACAATATACGTATGTCGGATCGTACCGAACGGGCCCTAATGAACTTGGATCAAGGTTTAAAGTCAAGATGGCACCCGGCGGCGGATATCCGTTGGATGTCCGTCGGAACATCCGCCGGTTCCGGTTGTCGAATAGGCGCTTGGAGCTATCCGGCTGCCGGATAATCCGGCCGGTCCGGTTGTCGGATGAAGGATTGAGAAAAAGCTGTGTACCGCCGGATATCCGGCGGTTATTTCATGTTTTCAGGCTTGTATTCATAGGTTGTAGATAACAAAAAATAGAAAAAAAGTGGCGGTTATTTCATGTTTTCAGGCTTGTATTCATAGGTTGTAGATAACAAAAAATAGAAAAAAAGTGGCGGTTATTTCATGTTTTCAGGCTTGTATTCATAGGTTGTAGATAACAAAAAATAGAAAAAAGGTCGGGGGATTAGAAAATTAAATACTATTTAATCTTCTTCACCATCAAGCTCAATAACAGAAGGAAGTTTCAAAGGTCCAAAAGTTTGTTGCCAATCTTTTACACATAAAAGAGTCTCAACATGTAGACTTGAGAGGTTACTACGCTGAGGCCCCAAGATTCTCTTGGTCTTATTAAATTGCCCTTCTGATGGACAGCTAGTTGCTGGGATTTCCAGAAACTCCATCGCCATGTTAGCCAAACCAGGATAGATGGCTACTCGATCTTTCCAAAAATTCAATACATTTTGGTCACGGCTTTTGAGCTTATCACCAAGGTACTGAGTGATCTCGTTTTGGATTGAATGCTGTTGTGGTTCGTCTCGGGTGCCAAAAATTGCATCTTCAAAATATTGAGAAGTAGATGTTGCGGCAGTTGACGATTTTTTGCTAGCATTCGATTTGGGAATTGGTGCATCGGTTTCAAATCTTATGGCTTCTAGTTCAAACATTGACCTAAAATCCAAAACGTCCACACCATACTTGTGAAAGATCATTGCTCGTTCCTTTTTCAATACAAATGATGATCAGTACAAAGTTGAGGAAAGAGTAGAAAGGAACTCACTTGAAAATACTGTAACTTGAGACGTGGATCCAGGATGGTGGCACAGATTGGTGCAGGTTTGGAAAGCACTTTCTTGAAGTAATCTTCAAGTTTAGCTATCATCTTGTTTGCAGCAGGCCTTAATTGATCGAAATCATATTTGCCAGTCACCTATGTGTACGATCATTCAGATTAGCAAATTGAAAAGTACACGTGAGTTTAAAAGAAAACACTTACGTCTTTGAGTCCTTTTAAGACTGCAATATAGATTGGAACTATGTGATGCATGGTTGGGAACTTTGATTTACAAAGTATCTCGGTGGCTTCACTGAGCGGTTCCAAGAAATCGCACATCTGTTTGACGTATTTCCACTCAGTAGGTGACAGAGCAAACTTTTGAAAGTCTTGGCCCTTGCAGAACTCGTCACACAAATCTTGGAGTCGCAGAAGTCTTCGAAACATATGAAAAGAAGAGTTCCATCTTGTTGGAACATCAACAACCAGTTGATTTGCGGTGTTAGTAGGTTGTCTTTGAGCTGGCTCCACGTGGTTGATAGTTGGATCTTTCGACATGTAGTCAACAGCTTCTTTCTCGGTAGCCAGTTTTTCAGCAGCCTCTTTCTCCGCAGCGGTAAGAGGGGTGGCAGGGGTCGAAGCACTTGCAGTGTTGGTGGAAGTGTTTGAGGCAGCTGCAGAAGCCATTGCTAGAGCCAAGTTACGTCTCATATTGACAATGTTGGCAAAAGCTTGAGCACGTTGAGGGCTAGACCGGGTACACGTCACTAGTCCATGGCATTGATTGTAGATTGTCTTGAGATTAACTTGAGTCACATCGGGTGGGTTGACAAGAGAATGTATGTTCGATGGTGGTTCAGCCTTGTCAATGTCGTCTTCAATGATTTCACCAAATACCTTTAAGCCTTCTTTGGCAGCAAGGTTGATTACGTGAGCTACACACCCATGAACCTGAGTCTTATGATCAAAGTTCATTCCGTCTGTTGATGCAAGGACTCGACCAATTGCAGCGTTCGTACTGATGTTGTCCGTGGTCATTGCGCTCAACTTGCTCGATACATCGTACTTCTTCAAGTAGTCAATGATGATGTTAGCAAAGTTGTGTGAATCGTGGGCACCTGCAAGATCACATCAGTCACATTGTGATCTTTCATTAAAAAGGGATGAAACACGTACCTTTGATTTCAGCAATACCTAGAGTAACAGCCACGAGTTCCCAATTGTCATTGATAAAGTGACCGGTTAGAGACATGAAAGGGACGTTGTTTGGCAATGTCCAAGCATCTTGAGTGATTGCGATTGATTTGCAAGGTCCAAAGTAGAGCTTCTTGATGAAATCCTCGTAGTGATAATAAATCCAGCGCATATGATTAGCGGTGGCAGTCCGTTTGACAAGCA